AAGGGACATAAAATTATGTGGCTTAAAATTAAAACTGTGATGTGACTGTTATTTTCCTTCCCTGCACATTGTGTCTCCAAAAACACAGAGCCTTCCAGTTCTCAGCTCCAGCTGCAGGCAAGAAAGARTTTCACCGGATGAGCTCCTGAATGTTTGTGTTCTTAGTCTACAGTTAATGAAGCTTATCCTGATATTTCCTCTCATTACCAAGCATGGTTTTGATTCTAAGATTGACTATCCAGGTCGTAATCCAAGTCTATAAAACAATAAAGCAGCAGCTCAAACTATTTGGAAGAATAAGTTTATTAAGTCTTGAAATTGTTGTGGTGGGGATAAGGGTAGGTCAAGCAAAGCCATTTCATGGGTCATCCTCTCTTGGAGGAAAAACATGCCTTGCAAGGCAAAATGAGAAATTGAATGAAACCATGAGAATCAACTACAATTGACTGTAATATGCCAAAAGAAAGTGCTGGGCTTTGGCTCCTTTGAAAGTCCTTGTTTCCCTTTTGTGAGKGCTTTTTTATGGTTTGCACAATATCCAACTACACAGCCGTTTGCCCAAAAGGAATCGAAGTTTTCATGGAGAAGTTTTCCCCAATATAAGAGACTTAATAGGAGACTTAACGATATGAGGAACTCAACTGCGTTCTATGATCAGACCTTTCTAGCCCCATCTTCAAAAAGAATAATTCCTGAGCAAAAATCTGGTACAACATGAAATGTAATGTCTACTCATTGCCTTCAACAATTTCTGCCTAGAAGTCCAGAATAACAATGTTGTTGAACAGGAATGGTACAGCAGTACGTACTCTGATCCTATGACTTTCTATTACCAGCAGCAGCTTCATTTCCCCTTTTAGATGATAAATTTCGTCGTATCGTAATCTCTTTTACATTTACTGACTTGGAAACCAACACCTTTTGCAGTGCACAGGTCTTACCAGTATTTTAGCATCCACCTTGGARGGATTTTAGAAAAAATGAGGGTATGGAGAAAGAACAATTACAAACTATAGAAGTGGTGGAGAAGAAATGTATGATTTTGACATCTCATCCCTCCCCATGGAAATAGATGCACTTGAGAGGAATGGAGACTTGTATCACAAAATATTTTCTTGGATATTATGGRAGTGAAGATGCTGACATTAAAAATACCATGCAAGCAAGCCACTCTTTAATTAGCAAATTCTAGGAATAGTATATTTCCAAGAAAACTGAGAAACATGTAAGACTCAAGGAGGAGGGAAAGCCCTTTTAAGCACTTTGATCTGAAAATCAAACACGTTTCTACAACACTTCAGTAGGTTCTCTTGTGTTTGCAAATTCAGTTCAGAATCAAATCTAAAAAAAAACCTCACTCAGCTTCATTCAGACTACAGACAGTAAAGAAAGTAACTCAAAAGCAAGCACAGAAAATCAATACCCAGATTTTTTAATGGCATACAGTTACTGCCCATGGAATCCAAGCCTTCAGAACYCTGTAATTAGTGAATCCAAAAATGCTCTTAGATTAATGAAGCAGAAGCTCAAAGGGATGTGTGATTATCTGAATTCTCAGGAAACAATAAAACCAGGTGGGACAATCAACTGACAGGGCATACCCATAACGAATAAAGTAGTTCAGCCAAGGAACACAAAAGCATTTAAACAGCTTTCCAAAAGGACAACAGCCTTACTTTAAAAGAATTAATGTGATGAAAAATGTACTGCCCAGCTACATGAACTATCTCAAAGGTAAATTAGGCTCACTAAGAAAATACTGAACATTAGTTCTGCTTCTAAGTTTGCCTAGTTTCAGCTGCCAACTATTTGATCTTGTTCAGTTCTTTCTTTGCTAGACTGTGGTTTCAATTATGTGGCTACAAAAATAAAAACTATGAGACTAGCAAAAGTGCTTTTAAGTGTATACATTATACTATAAAATATAAAACTTCTGAATTGTCATTTATATAAATGAAAAAATCAAGTTGAAGCAGAGTAGTCTAATTTTACTGTCTACCTTTCAATAATCCTTTTTTAAAATTACTTTTCAACCTACACTTTTCAAAGGCACCTAAAACATATAGGAAGTTCTATCATAAATAAATTGTTTTAGTACACAAATATTTACTACAATATTTTTCTTTTTTTAATTGTATTTGTTGTATTTTTATTTTGAAATTCATAGTGTTTTCTATTTTTATCTTGGCTCCATCTTTCTTAAACCTCAAATACGAGGTTTGCGATTAATTACTTTGGAAACAGTCTGTGAACGCACCTCCATATTTAATTGCTTTTTTGAAGAAAAATTTCACTGGATAAAAATTTCCATTCCTCTGTACTACTTGTTCAAGTGTATTATATATAATTATTACTTTTTTTTGTTTGAACTTTGTTTTTCTGGCAACTATTTATCTGAGAATTCTTAACATAATGTGCCAGCAACTTATGTAAACCCACAACCAATATGACTGCATATTTTTCATGTTAATTTGAATTTATCTTGGCATCTTGTAATRCCATCCAGTGCACTGGCAAACAAATATTGAATGACTTAACTTGGGATGTCCTCCAAATTTTGTTTCTTTTCAGTGGAAATTCCCTGCAAGCTATGTCTAACTTTTCAGACATTACAAAAATGATCAGAAGACTTTGCAGATGTTTAACATCTCACATGTTACCACATATGTTAAAAAGCATCTGATGTCGAGTCCTGTCAGCTGTACGTGGAAATAGAATGCTGAAGACAGAATCTGCATTTATTTGGAAGGGTATCTACCATGTCTTGGTATAACAAGTTTCATTTCATTTAGTCTCAGTTTCCAGAAGAAGGTCTAAGAAAGCAGTCCCTTCAGTTTCTTTTGTAAAAGCCCTGCTAAAACAACTAGTAAGATTTTTGGGTCAGATGCAGTAGAAGGTTGAGGTCCACAGGCTCTAGAACAGTGCGTGGCGGGCACCTGGTGCCTCAGAGGCAATGCCACAGTCTGACACAGTCACAGCCACAGCAGAGCTGTATGATACACATTTTAAAACACTCCTGGAAGAATTAACTGGATCCCAGGCTTCCACAGACCCATTTTTGAGGTGGATGCTTGGGTCTCCCCAGTCAGAGCAACTTCTCTGCCCTCTTAGGGGGCACCGAGCCCCCTAACACCAGGGTCAGCCTGGGGTTCACTTGCCTGCCACAGACATCTAATTTAAACATGATTCATAAAACCAGGAGTCTGCACTCCCTTTATGGCAAACAGAAGAGGTGCCTTTAAGGATTTCTGGGCCTAGGGAAGATGAGGTTCATTCCTGCCCTATTCCCTTGCTCCCACACACAGTTGTGTGTATATGCACACAGGGAATCCAAAAGGTAAACTTTTGCAGCACTGCTTTTCTTTGCAATAAGATCTTTCTGGGCCCTAAGATTTATGCATTAAATGTGTGCAAAAACTGACCTCCAAAAGTTTTAGTTGTGTYTATTGAAACCAAGCAGCACTGGGACTGCAGTTAATGCCCTGCTTTGGTGCACATTAATAATAAATGCTGTGCAGCACAAGCCAGTCAGTTGTTCTTCAGTGTGTTCCCAAAGCTGCTTCTGTATTTTATCCAAAACTCCTTTGAACTGAAAAGCATTCCCTCCTCCACAGGAAACACAAAGCAGCTATGCTGAAAGATGCATATGCAGGGATAAATGTGAATAACATGATAAACCTTCAAATACATTACCTGAATCCGAAGAGGAAAGTTAGGTTTGCTGATACTCCTTTTCAGACTCGAGTTTTTCAGTCATTTACCAGAAACCTTGTCTCGATCATGTCCAACCTGTGGGATTCAGGAACTCTTCCCAGCTTCCAAGGCTTAATGTGTGCTTCCCCCATCCTGGTGTGGAGTCAGAGGCACAGGCCAGCTCACCCCTCCTGTACCACCMGGACGGTGCAGCAGCTTTGCTGAAGGAAACCCAAGGACACAAGCCAAAAGCAGGCTGCTGGTGGGCTCCCTGCTCTGGACACCCGGACATTCCCCATGCCAGGGCATGCCAGGGCACCTGGCTTAACAGGAAGCTGCAGCACCCCAATACATTCAGAGCTGTGCCAATTATGGGGTGGGCAATAGACAGGAAGTTGTGAATGCCCCACCCCTGCAAGTGTTGAAAGCCAGGCTGGATTGTGGCTTGGAGCAACCTGGTCTCATGGAAGGCTCCTGCCCATTGCAGAGGGGTTGGAGCTAGATGATCTTTGAGGTCTCTTCCAACCCAAACCATTCTGCGATTTTGTGATTCTAAGTGCAAGCTTAGGATCTTTATGGACACRAGAAAGCCCTGTAATCCACTCCTGATGGGTCTTGGCACGAGTGATCCTTGAGCTGCTCAGGCTGGACTAGTTATGGACACACCCTGCAAGAGAACTGGAAGCAGCCAAGAAAAGCCACATGAGCGGATATTTGGTGAGCTGAAGGGAGGCAAGTCAGACTGTAATTTCGTACTGTTCTTGGCAGCCCAGTCCTCTSTTGAATGTTATCCATAGTTTCTGAAATGTGTTTAATTTACCTTTTTGTGCAAGGGGTGCTGGAATATGGGGGATGGATGTTGGTTCTGTCCACAGCTCACTGCAGAGATGATGCTCTGCCAAGCCCATCAACTGGAATCTCCCATTACTGCATGGTCTTGCAACACGGTGGAACCCTCTATTGCTGCTATGCTAGTGGTAGGCAAGATGTTCATCTAGTTCTGCACTTTGGCTCTAAATTAGCGAGGGCCCTAATCACACTCTCAGTGGGTGAATGTAATAAAAATGGCATCCAGACTCACCTTCCCGTCTTCCACTGAGCAGCAGTTCAAAGTGAACACCTGAAGTCAGCTGCAGGTTGCAACTGGTCCAGCTCACTTTCACTAATTCTACTTCGTGTCTTGCAATGAATCTTAAGTTCCATAACCAGTTCTGCACATTGTGAAAATGGACTTCATCTCTTGTTTATTATTTTCTCATCTTTCTCATAGAAAATATGAAAAACAACAACTGCTAACAAGCAGCCGTGACACCAGAGAGCGCTGACCCCTCAGACTCTAGGCTAACCTTTCCAGAGTACCTTTTCCTTAAAAATAAAGATACAGATACATGCACCSCTAGAATCACACAGCCACATAACTTATTCAGCCATTTACTAAAGAACTATTACAAAAAAAAGTCTGTAAAATCTACTTATTTCACAACAACCAGAGTGCTTCCAGTGTATTTCCAGATGTCAAATTCCCTTTACATTCCCAATGCAGGAGCCAAATTCTTCAGCTTCTCTATTTGACAATTTCCACTGTGCAGAGGGATCTATGATTACAAAAATCTGTAGTGGCTTAAGTCAATATGAAAGGAGAACCAAGACAAAATAACATGGATTATTAACCATTAATTCAGGGAAAATGTAGCCTAATCATCGGCATGTTTAAATCGTTGCTGGAATACAGTGCCTGGGGCACAGAGAAGTAAAATAAGGGATGAACAAAGATTAGCATTGCAAGGCCATTTTACTCAATTAATATACTACCATTATCACAGTTAATAAAAGCAAACAGCAGTTGTTTCTAAGTATCTCACTTTTATACTGAAATACCTCATTTTTATACTACTGAAACCMATACTTGCTATACTGCTAAAAACCTTGGTCTCTGGATGCCTAGGATTACATCAACTTCTCGATTGTCACAGAATTCTCTCCCTAAAGCAGGCTTTAAAAACAAAAACTTGAAGCAAGCTCACTTGAAAACACTCACAAGCCAGGAGGTAAACAAAACCCACTGTTTTGGGTTTTTTTATGTCATGACTTTCAGAAAATCTCCTGAGTGTTTTTGTTTTCTGGATTTAATTATGTACGTCAGAAATAATGGAAGAGAGGCTGTGTCAATGACCAAGCTTATGAGCCAAATTAACAAGCGGTAAATTATTCATAACAGACGTAGCTCCCTACACAAACAGAAACATACTGAGGGAGTAAAATACCTGCAAGGGGACGATCAGAACTACTTTGCAAGATTCAGAAAGGGAGAAAGCAAGCACTGCAGTGGCATTTCTCAATCCTGTATTTCCAGAGCTGACTATAAGCAGGAAAYAAGGCACTCCTCCAGTGGAGCAGATTTATTAAGAAGCTCTAGAGAGCTGCTCTAAATCTTAGCGAGGCCGTCATTAAACTGCTGCTCTTCTGCAGCCTCCGCACAGAGTCAGACTAAACACAGATATGGGAGAAAACCGGGCTCCCTTCAACYGCAGCTTTTAACTTTAAATACAAGCTTCTCTAAACCTGTCATCCTTCTSTGAAACCTCTTCCTTTCCAGGCATAGTTTTAAGTGTTCCAAAGACATGTGTCATACCTGCTTAAAAACTCAAAGAAACTTGATAACAATTCTTTCTAACATACCACCTCAGGTTTCATTTACACTTTAATTATGTTATTAGCAGCTCAGGACTAGGCATGACTGCATGTGAATTCACATTTATGGATGTGAACACCACAACCTAGCTGGGAAACACATTTCAGATGCAGTGATTTTATTTGACTTCCTTTTTTTCTATAATCCTGATCACTGTAGTTGCAAGGAATGCTTGGCCATAAGGAATGTGTGGTATCCCAGATTTGCACACACATAGCACACTCTGCTTTTTAATCCTAAGGATCGATACGGAAAAAGATTTTTCTGTAAATACTGGGAGAGAGACACGCAAAMGTGTCTGCCCTGTCCCACCATGAATGAAGAGCATCTCATTACTATCTCTTACTTGACTTGAAAGCCTCCAACTGCTCAGAAAGACRTATCCTTCAAAAGGAGGATGTCCTGGCACAAAGTTAAGGGGTTGTGGATGGCTCCCAGTGGGATAKCAGCACTAATCCCAGTCTCCTATCTCTGTTCAAACAGCAAATTAAATGGCAAATGCACCCACGGAGGATGTTTATGTCATACTTTGCAGACATGCACAGCCAAAGAGCTCACATTTTGAACCTGCAAATTACTCACACATTTTACATTTTAAAYAAAACTGTAGATTTATTGTACAATAGTACAGCATGTGCCTTTTAAACCAAAAGCTCAGCATCACGTAACACTTTAATCTTCCATTAAACATACACAGTCCTACAACACAGCTCAGCTCAGCTAGGAAARCTACATAATGAATTAATTTATTGASAGTCCTGGCTACGCTGTTCTTAAGGATGTTTACCTAGAGCAAGAACAGTGGCAGTGGTTCTGGTGTTGTAACATTTAATCACTTTAACCTGTTCTCAACACAGTAAAAGCAAGCAGTCACCGAGAGCACAACAAACAGAKCACTTAAGGGACACCACATTTAATAGCAAATGTATGAAACAATAGACCAGAGGATCTCACACACATCATATGGATTAAAAACCTGATATGAGATCAGTTTGATGCAATGTCTGCACTAACTATGCCACGGGAAGACTGGATGCACAACAGGCATCATACCGCGAGGAAGTGTCATTCAGATTGAAATTCTTAGGTTTGGAAGAAGCAGACCAAAGTGTTCTGTACAAATATACACTTGGCTTATTACATTAGTTTACACTCCTGTAGCCATTTKCCCACATGCCAGTAACATCTTGTTATAATTCATTTTTATACCATGTGCTTCAACCTTACCTGGTTCAGTTAAAAACAAGATCATTACATCAGGGCACAGAAGGTGCTCTGTGCTGCATCTTGGCCTYTCAATTTGTCACAGACATCCGAGTTGCTGCAACCAGATGTCCTTTATGCACGCTCTAGCCACAGGTGTTATTAAGACACATTTTTTCTTTGCCACTGGGGTTTCTCATTGCAATGGAGACTCGAAATTCATCACTATATAATGACTTACAGCAAGTACATTTCCTCTGAAATTTGGAATTAAACATCTACTACCCAAATGAGCTACAGGTTACATCACAAACTCTTGATCAGAGAGAGATAGTTTATGCCTTTTTATTGCTGTTTAGTTTATCAATGTGTGTCAAACCTTAAGCCTTGTTCCTTAAAAGAATCAAGTGCTATTTTTAAAGAATTTAAAATTCTCAGAAAATACTATTTTAAGTAAATTTTTAAACATCCAAAGGAGGTAAATTTGGATCCTACACCTGGATATGTGATTTTTCACTCACAGCAGGAGCGTGATAGTGCACARTTGACTGATTCTGAACCAGCATCAGCTAAAATAATATGCTAATCAAAACACAGACAGTGGTATTAAAGAAACAGAGGAAGGAGATCTGTATCAAATATCTGTTTTTGAATTAAAATGGATAGCAAYAGTGTGTAAGCTTTCAAACAGACAAGATTCTTAGCTTATCTCCAGTATACCAGGAGTCATTCCAGAAAAATTATACCAAATTTGTACCWACTATGGTCCATGTGTATTGTCTGACTCTGCAAATTTCACTCATCTTAGCCAAAATACTACAGTATGTCAATTAAAGTATAAAAACAAAAAGGGATCAAGAAGGATCATTTTAAGTCAAAGTTGCTTTTTGTATAATCTTCAACAATATCGAAAAGAATTCACCACACTGAAAAAATTGTCATTTATCTGTCTTGCTTCYAGTTTTAGATAACACTAGCCAGCAGAAGAAACAGCTGGAAACAAATCCATTTTGACTTGCAAGACTAAAACCATAATCTCAGYAGATTTCTAGTTTATTGTCTAAACTGTAACATTTTGGTAGCCTTCAGTGAACAGATGAACTTTTGGCTGATTATCCAGACATCATGGATACAAGTGAAGACTGTTGAAAAGGTAATTATTTAATTAGCACACACATGACCTGAAATTATTTTTCTTGCTGCAAAACAAACCCAAGCAGCATATTAATCAGATACACTAGCTCTTCTTCCACTCAGAATTTCTAATTTTCTTAACAAAGAATGAGAAATAATTAAACCTGGTCTTCAAACATTATCAGCTGTTTAAGGAATAAAGCTCTGCTATTTCCTGAATTCATTCTATGCCATTTTTAGTAAAAGAGTTTATGCAGATTCTTTCTGCTTACTAAATGAAGCCAGCTTATGTTTCTTACATATTCAAAYAGCCCCAACACCAGAGACATACAAAGTGTTATACTAAATTTTAATCCTTGTAAAACATTATTACACCACACACTGTTATTAGAAGTCTTTYCAGTAACATCCATTATAGAACTCAGTAAAGAGCACTGTCTACTACTATGCACTGTCAAATATTTCTGGCAGTATTGGTAATTAACTACAGCATATTTCTTTTTTAAAATCAAGTGTTAACCTACATATTCTGAACTTGCAAATAATACACAATAGATTTKACTGTCATACAGGCTGCATATTCATTCTTTCTGATTTTTATAGAAGAGTAAATTTTCTATAACAATATGAAAGAAAATTAATAACTTATTTATCTACCTAGGAGGCTAGTAGTTATTTGTAATYATATTAATCAAAAGATGACTGAAAAATTCAAAGTTAATTATTGTGAAGTGCACAAAATCTAGAATATAGGGAGTTTCCACAGTACATTATACTAAGTCAACATATAATAGATTAAAAGCTGTAAAGCCAAAATTTTCATTTAAAAATTTAGTGTTTCTGACATCATCTTCCACCATTCCATCAACTCTTCTTTTTCCTCTTCTTTTCTTTCAGACAATGACTCCAGTTCAAAATCAACCTGATTAAGAGAAACAAACAAAAATATCCATAAGACTTATAGAAAGAGAACAGTGTAGGCTTTTAAGAGTCATTTATTGAAAGAGGATGCTTAGCACAAACATGGGGCTTAGATAGGTACCTTCTGGTTTAGGCTGGACTTATTCCAAAGTGTCTTGAAGCTTATTTGAACATGTGCAATACTAGTGTACCAGTACAATAACTTGTCTAAAAATACACACAGGTCAGCAAAATTTCCTGAAGAACCAGGCATCTGCCCAGTCTTTGACTTGACTAAATACTTCAAGAAGTATGGACCAATGAAATTAAAACTGAATAATAGCCAACCACATAAATTATACAGCATATTATCAAAAGTATCATCAGCATATTGCTAACACAAATCACAGAATATTCTGAGTTGGAAGGGACCCACAAGGATCATCAATGGTGCTCTTAYGAGCACCATTCTCTAACCAMCTGAGTTAATTTCAAGGCAATACCTAGCAGACCCCAGCATATCAAAACATGTATTCAATTTTATGCCATCAAAAATATCCAGGGAGCTTTTCCTGACACATGGCTCATTAATGTAGATACAATGTGCTACTTTAGTATATCTTAACATGTGATCCACACGAGTGAAATAGCTTTTATTTTAATTAAGAGACATCCACATCTGTACAGAGAGCGAATTAAAAATGCTTTTGAAATCTTASATGCAGTCTAGGTTTTATTAACCACACACACTGCATATCTACACAAAGCAGTGGCCCATTGCTACGGAGCTGAGCACTGGTTTTCATCTAAGCAGGTACTCATTTGACAAAACWCATTAAAAATAGGCCTCAATCAAAACCTCAACATCTCTTTATGTTGTGCTGTTTAAAGATATGKTGTGATCTTCTGAYTGGCYATTCAGACATGAACCAATAAAATATTTAGGTATCTCAATGTTACCCTTCTTTGTGTCTTTTCATTCTAAATAAGACCAGCAAGAGATTAAATTAGTTTAAAACGAGATTACTCTCAGTGGATGGTGCACCAATAGATGTGATTTCCAAACTTTCTAAACTAGAGCATTCTGAAATATTCTGAAAAATCACCTCCTGCTTACATGAGAGGAAAAGGGACCTTTTGAATACATAACAGATGACAAACCAACACACATGAGCACTTACCACAACCGCAGGGCTGAAGGGCACAGCCACTTTTTTAGTTATTGCTAGATAGCCTGGTGCTGAGGCCGTAACTTTGTAATTTCCAGGCACAAGCAATCTCCAGTAATCACCATCCTTGGCTGTAGMGAGGAAGAAAATAATCCAAATAAATATGTCAAAAAACTAATTACAGAGCTAAAATGAAAGGATCACAGGTCAGTCTTTTATATTTCTATCAGTGCTTTCCTTCTGACTGTCTGAAAGGATTCTCCTTTCTTTCTTCCTTCAGTAAGAGCTGYATAAATATATCATACTTGCTTCCTTTCAGGTACTCAAGAAAAAGATTTAAATGTTGAAGCTGTGCTGTAGCCTCCCTGAAAGATTTTGCCTGCTGAGGCTGAAAGCTCTCCATCACACTGAAGAAAAGGACAATATGGGACATTATTTCACTTTAGAAGCACCSCCCAGCTATGTAAAGTCCTTGTGAAGGATCTGATATTCAGTTTGCAATGTGATATGGATTTTTAATGTTCCTCAGTATTCTGATAATCCAAATGTAAATAAATTTTGTTCTCATCAAATTTAAATAAATGGAACTACCGTTTTCATCTTTCAGAAAAAAAACATAAATAATCATTTCCTAGAATATTCCGTGCATATTACCCTTGAAGCATTATTATCTATGTATTTCAGTATCCAGACATTGTCTAGGGCTTTTTTCTTTCATTCAGATAAATGAAAAAATGGAAGCTTGATCCACTCACGTCAAAGAAAGGCTCCTACTGCACTTATTATTGCAGATCACCTTTTTCAGTCACAGAATCAAAATGCATCTTCATCTTCTTTATAAATAATCCTATCCCTTTTTCACAAAGGCTCAGATCTTCCCTGCACAAATTATCTGATTTGTCACAGGCTAATGATTTTAATTWCTCTACCTCCAGAAAACATTGCAGGCCTGTTCTAAAGTTCAGTCAGCAGTGCCATTTTAAAAACTTGGTCATGCTGTTTCTGCTAGTCCCTTAAATACTTTTTCACCACATCTGCCGCTACACAGTGTACAAAGGGGAATATTAGTTAAATGTCTGCTATTTGCATGGTTGAAAATATGTCAGTAGTCGGRCCACTTGTTCCCAGATTTTTCTCTTCATAAAACAGAAGGGAAAAAAGTACTGCTGTAGAATTACAGTAATGATCTATTCTAATTCCTGTCACTGGAACAAAGCAGAATTTCAACTMAAGAACAAAGAAGCAGGAGAAAAGCTGAAGAACATTACTCCTTCATTTTGACTGTACTAATATTCAAGTACTTATTTTCCTCACTGTTCTGATAATATATGACTTCCAGTCTTACACACACAGGATGTGAAGAGATTTTTGATTAGATGCAATTTTTATACCATAGCAGCACGAGCTTCTCTCTCCTATACCTCACTCTCTTGTACCTCAAATCTCTCTTTGCACATTTTATTCTCTTTTTATGCCTGAGAATTAATTTCCTATACGTTTTGCCTTATTTACAGTGACAGAAGGTAATTAATATTTTCAGACTGTTCTCCTGCTTGGTAGAAGTGCTAGCAGTCTCTTTTCAAGTGATGTGCAAACACAAATATGATGCACCTCAAGATTCCACCAGTCCTGTTTCATAGTATTCTGCATTTCTGTAACAGTACAGTGAGACATATCATCAAGAAATGAGAAATGACATAAGCTCATGCACAAAGCACTGACATTTTCTTATTGCTTTTTCCAATTAGTAACTTGTGCAAATAAAAAACAAAATCTCCTTCAGGACAGAACAGCTTAAGTGTACAGGAAAAGCTGAAAGTTGGAACACTCGGAGAGCTACCTTTTGAACTCATTCCTAGAATAAAGCACAGCATCACTGAAGAGGTGATGTGTAATTTTCTATKAACACCAACCAACATCATACTTTCATCTTTTAGCATMACTCTTCTGAAAAAACACTGCATAATTGCAAACAGCAGAGAGAATTTATCTTTGCTAAAGGAAGTTACGTATATTGGAAATCTGTCAGGAATTTACATATCAAAAGGTACGATTCCATTGTAAAAAATATAACACTTCTGGACTAAAATTTAGCCTTCAAACTCAAAATAGCACTGTTGACAGGCTTTAAATCCTGGCAGAGCTATGACAGTATTTTCCTCACAAATTAGAAGACAGTCTAAACATTAATAACCAAGAGCCACCAGAACCAGTTCACACCAGGGACCCATGAGGTCACCAAATGCAGTCTCAGCTACTTTGAGAGCAAGATACAAGTGAAAGATTCATGAAATCCTGTGAGCAACAAACTTCTTGAGGCACAATGTGCCTTTCTGGCTTCAAAATGTTGGACCCTTAAAGCTTCAGTTAAAGAGATGTGAAATGTCTCCAGGTTTCTGAGCCAAGGAGAAGTGGAATAACACAGCGCTGCTGAGGTACCACACTCACCTGATGTAACATCATGGCTTATGCCCTCCACAGAAATTGTAGCATTTGCTATTGGATTGCCCTGAAGATCTTTAACAAACCCCTTCACTCCTCGATGAATCTAGAATGAATAAGGTCACCAACACACGGTAAATAAAAAATTCTTAAGGAAAAAATATCATTTTTTGACAGTGGAATAACTACTGATATATCTMACAAAGCATACCGTGGCTGAAAACTATCAATGATAAATACTWAACCATAATGAAACAAACAGAGTGTGAAGAGGCAAAATAATTTATCTGGTAGCTATAATAATTTATCTGTGTGATGCAAGTAATTCTCAGAAATACCCAGCAAATCATAATACATGTGAACATTGACTTGAAAATCTTTGTCATATTGGGGATAAATGACTGCACTGAAAAGCTTTGAAAGAACAGCCTGCAGAAACCTTTTTCTTAAGTGTTATCAACTGTAAGAATGTAGAGCTAATAATTGACATAACTGCTTAAAAGTGAGACATTATCGAAGTAAATGCAATCACTTGGATTCGAATGGACAATTCCTCTGTGAGATGCTCGAGATCTCTACYGTGCACCCAAAACAGCCAGATCTTTGAGCTGGAATCACAGASAGGCACAACCCTCCCCTCATGGCCCGTGGGAGAAAGGCAGTGGTGGGTCATGTCCTTGTTCCTTCTTGCTTCTAAGGGAACCTGCTCCAGATGACAGCCCCAATCTGTTTGCTTGCAGGGCACATGAARTTAAAGCACTGATTTGATCTCAGTCCTGCCAGTGTGTCTAAAGTGCAATCTGAAAATAGACTGGGCTCCTCAGAGGCAAGAGACTGAGGATCCACTGCCTTTTCATGTCCAGAATTAGGGAACTTTCGGTGCTGGGGAGAAGGGGTTTTGGGGAATCTGTGTGGAGATGCACCTTATGGGGAGCCTGGAAATAAAGGAGTAAAGTACTGTGACGCTCTGGCTTCTCTGTGATTCCATGCCCTTTGAAAAGACTTGTGGATCCCAAGTTTTATTTTGAGATATTGATATCCCCCTTCATGAACCTTTATGGTGCATTYAGCTGCTAGAGTACAGTTCAGATTGCTCTAATTTACACCTTGGGAGAAGCCTTAGAAAGGCAGAAGTTACATATTTGCACTGTCCTCAGCACTCACAGGGGAGCTAGAGCACAGACCTGGCCATCTTATCCTGCAGGAAGATAAAAAGCAATGCCAAACAGACCATCTGAACTTCAAGGATAAAGCCAGCAGCTCTGCAGGAGCAAAGGAAGTTGGCAAAATAGTATCTCATACACGAGCAATTCTGAAAATTCASTGACAACATGGTTTTCCATGAGTCAGAGAAAATTAATCCTTGTGGAAAGGAGCTGAACAATTTGAGATGGATCCCACAATKAATGGGTAAAAACCTGCAGGACAGGTACAGCTTTTTCTTCAGCCCACAGATGAATTTTTAACAGAACTTTTTAACAAGTGTAACACTTCAAATATTCAGATATTTCAGATTTCTGGCTAACTAAAGCATTTCTGCATAAGTAAGTCCTTAAAGAAATGAATGTATTAATTGATCAGCTCCACCAACAAAGTGTTTCTCATTTCACAATCTCAGGTGTGCAGCCACTAATGATATCAGAAATATTTGTAATCTTTAACTACAATATTCAAGTTTCAGAAATTCTGTATTCCCATACTGCTTGGAATCACCATTTCAGTGCAGCCACACTATCATGAAATTATTTAAAAGAAAAAATGAACAAAAACTAACAGTAACAAAGAAAACCCCCAAACACACACAGATGTGTTTCATAGTGTTAACTTCTAATAACCCATTAGCATTTAGATTACCTAAACTTTCCTATCAGATTTGGTATAATTTGTAATGGAATCATGACACTGACAGTAACTAGTTTTGCCATCCTCTTCTGCCTTACCTGTTCAATGTAATTTATAAGAGAGTTCTTGTTGTCCTCCCAGTAACCTTTCAGAGTTTCTTCAGGTGGGAATTTTTCACAGCTAAGCTCCACTGTGATTTCAAAGCAGTTGCTGCTGAGGTAATTGAAATCCTGCATTCCTGCAATGACAGAAAAGAGAGCTAGCGATGCATTTTGCATTATCCTGAAGTAAATAAKGGGGCACACATGAAATGCTGGGACTAATAAGAATAGAACAGCTATAAATACAATTGGTGCAGCTCCATTTAATCTGCTTTATTTTGCATTCAGAAGCTTTAAATCAGRGAAACCAATAGAACAATTAATTCCAAAATACATTTTCTTCCTAGGGAAAGTTTAGCAAAACSTTGATAAATAGCCTGTATACTTCTACCTGATGTTGCACCTGGCCTCTATACTTTTAGCTCACAGATTTTTTGATAGCTGACATGAGTTACATTTTTTCCTCTTTGGGAAAGAAAATTATTTCAGATTATGGCTAAAATATTTCCATATGAAAAAATACAACAAAAGATGATCACTTTGTAATCCAAGAAAAATGACAAATTATAAAGCAACAAAAACTTTGTAACCCAAGAAAAATGACAATTTATTATAAAGCATATTCAACAAAATTAAGTGACATTGAAAAASAGATTTATAAAGGGTCAAAACATGTTGCTGGTTTATTTTTTCCTAAAAATATAACAYTTCTAGTAATGTTTCACATGAAAAACATCTTCTTGTCAAGATTTTCTGCACAGATTTCAAATATTTTCCACTGAAAAAATACAAAATAAAACTTCCTATAAAATTTATTTACATGGAAATTTTTCCATGGATAGGGTTTTTCTCCTGTCCACTCAATGCCTCTGCAAAATCAGTATTGGATAGCCTTCAAGACAGAAGAGAAACACTACTACAAATGMAACTTTAATAACTGAAATTTGACACATAAATTACATTGTAGCATTATCACTAGGACTAAAAACTTGATGGAAAATGTGCATTCTTGTACATTTGTGAGCTGTTCCTCTTACTATACAGATGTATTGGCTATTTTCTTAAATTGGTGAACCAAAATCCCATGAAGGTTTCCAGTTTTGTAACTGGATCAACCAGCTGGAGAGGAACAGTGGTGATCCATCCCCAGGARGGTCATTAATAGATGCTTTGCAGAAGCTGATGTAAAACTATCCCTCCTTCCCAGTCTGCCTAGCAGAGCCAGTGGACTCTCAAATGGAAGCCTGAGAAGAAAATGCCTATCAAGCCTTTTGAGCACCTCCATGGAGGTCACTGAGGGATTTAGAAGCGCTTCCAGAACAGCTAATTGACCCAGCCCTGTGCTGCCCTGTGCCAGCTCCACATGAGACCCGATGTTTCAGTTCCTTCACGGACGCACCAGCGCTGTCACAGCTCCCAGAGAGCTGATGGCACCTCCCAGAGAGAGCCCCGAGGGCAGCAAACACGCTGGCTCAGGTGGGATTTTGCCAACACGCTTGGCATGAAGAGGCTGCTTTCTGCCAACAAGACTCCCAGCTGCTGATAGGCACAGGGATTTCTCCGATTGCTAAAAGAACCTTTTTTCATTCTAAAGCTTTTTTTAGAAAAATGAGGACACAGAAGGCAAAGGCTCCTGGGAATGATGGCTCTGATGTTCCAGCAGGCAGAACTCTGAGATGGATCATTCAGCAGCACACAGCAAGAAAGCAGAGGAGCCATGAGCAAAATCCTCACACAGGTTTTGACTATCATGCATCTGTCCTGGAGACTAGATAATGCTGCTTTTGTTGATTTTTGTATTTCTTCTACAAGAAAGAAAGAATGCATGAAGAGGAGAACAGGGAGCCAAAGGTCATGATGTAATTTTACTGGGATGCCAACGATTTGTCACCATTACTGTTCCAATTCTCAGGAAATTTCTCCTTCCACCCRAAGTGCCCTAGTTTCTCAAGAACAGAACAAAGAAACTATATATTTTCCAGTTTTGTGCACAAAGGCCACACCCTATGATTTATTTCCCAAGGCCTGGCTTGGTCAAAGGTTTATATGTTGCTCCTGAAAAAAATTCAGCTTTTGCATCACTGAAATGCCAGTGATGATCTGAGTCTCTGGGATGGAAAATGGGGTGAAGCTGACCCAGATCTAAACTGTGGCCTATCACAAATGGAATCTGGAGTGCACTGGGCTGTGCAGGCTTGGCCTCCATAATCACTGTGCTGTTTAGGTGCGATATCCAAGAAACCAAAACATTTCTAAAAATTTATTCAATACTGCAGATCAGAAAGGCTTAGACACCTCAGATAAAACTGAGATTCAGCAGTGAAAGCCCTTCATTGCTGACCATTGCTGACCAGTTTTCTTTGAAACTGAGAACACAAAAACTTCTCTGTAGCACTACTCCAGTGTCCTGTCTCTGTGTAAGCGCTCACAAAAAGAAGCTTAGAATACGGGACAAAAAATAATTTCTTCAGGTTTTAATAAGGGAACACCAAGCTTCACAAATAAAGTGGATCTCCCTGGCATCCAGGCATCAGAACTACTTAAGACTTTGAATTACAAGCTACAGCACTAAGCTCAGCTTCTACACATAGAAACGACAGTAACCTTTACCAGGACAGGATGTACTTGAATGGGAAGAACATGTGCCTCGTACATGTGTTCAATGAAGTCCTAAAAAAAAACCTAGCACTCCTTCTGAAACTGGTAGTTCAAGTTAGGAATTAGTTGAGTGCCAAGGGTGATTTGAGAGTATCTGAAAATCAAAAAAAAGACACTTAAACAATAGCCTAATAGCAGAGCAATGTAAGCTGCTTTGAAAAGCTATTTTTGTAATGACATGAATCTGATTWGACTCAGATGACTCTGTAATGACAGAAAAAGCAAAACAGGCATGTGGGCTAGATAGTTACTATCATTACTATCTGCTCTTCTCATCTTTGGTTCCAAATAGGGGCTCCACACAAAAAGTACATTAATATCCTTAAGGATGTTGAAAAGTCAAAGCTATGGAAATGCCAAAATGAAAGCTGTTGTTGCAAATTTAAATTGGTTTTCTTGTGCATAAATGAAATCATTAATGACATGCTGATAGGGAGAAGACCAGTGTTAAAAACAAGGTTTTTACRTACAAACTTGTTTCTCCCCACAGTTTGATGGCCAAAAGAGCCATTCCTGAACACAGAAGAATAACCTCTTTGCCTTTGCTGTCTCTGAGAAACCTACAAGGATCAACTAGTTACAGATGACAAGCATTACAAGGCATCATGGCCTCAGATTCAGCACAAAGTTGCTCTTGTTTTCCCTGTGCCCCTGCTCTACAGAAGGAAGTAACTACTAAACAGTAACGGTGAGAAAAACCTCCCAGAAAAGTGCCTTTAGATAGAGAAGCAAGTGTCACATACTCCTGTACATCATCCACTCTCTCCACTACAAAAAGGGAATTGCCACCTTGCATGAGGTTGGTGAGGAAATCCTGAGGTCAGGCAAGGGGATGGACAGGAATGCAATGGAGGGCTCATCCTTACTTCCAGTTAGAGCCAAAGGCCTGGTACCAGATGTTTCTGCCACAGACATTCAGCCTTCCTACTGAAAGAATCCAAGTATGCAGAAAGACATGAAAAAGCAGCCCACAGTGACAMGAGAGCCATCCACACACTGTCCCCACAGACCAAAGAACCAGTGAAGATGGCTGCTGGCCCACCACGCAGGGCTGTCTTTTATGGAACGTACGAGTCCCCATGGATCAATCACAGGGCCAAAGAATCGATTCTGCACAGCTGGGGGCACCATAATAAGCTCTGTAGGGTGACAGCACCTGTAGCAATTCCTTAGAATGAAAGATCCTCTTTTYCTAGGGCAGAGCTCTTGGTCTGATGAGCTACTGCCAAAGGCAGGATGTAGGAGATGGCAAGGAATAGAGACAGAAAACGGGCAGGAGGGGATACTGGAGCTGTGTTGGTGGAGAAAGGAGKGTGTGACTTTAGTASAAGAGWGAGGAAGGAAGGGAAAAGGGGAAAGTGGGGGACAAAAGGCCAGAGGAACCCAAGGGGACAGAGAAGCATCACCTTAGCTCCGGCCTTTGGAGTTTCTTTTGATAAATTCCTAACTCTGGTAAGGACAGTGGAATATTTTTCCAAAAGCAACATAAATGGCTTTACAATACCTTATGGTGCTACTAACTTTGAGTTCATTACCATATAGACAGCAAAAGACCACTGATACCAYCAACAACCCAACTATCACTTGTTGGTTTTCAGATGGAACTTTTCGGATTAAAGCTCAAAAAACATTTTCATTTGAACTGGCATTGTTGAGTTATTTTCCTTAGCACCAGACATAGAAAGAAGAGAACTGTTTTCACTGAATAACATTTGCGCTTTTTATGTCAGTAAACACGACCATGGAGGTTTTGCTCAAAAGTCACAGCTTGCCAGCTGATTTCGACAGTTGGAAAGAAAAAAACCAAAACCAAAACCAGTAACAGATTCATGTATGGTCCAAAGTATATTGTTGTCTATTTTTTAGATCCTGCTTAGCACTAGGGCTCCTGCCTACTAACATCTGTACAAATATAAGAAAAAGAAAGGCCTCACTTGGGGAATTAGTAGTCTAACTTAGGATCCAAAAAGAGGAAATCAAACTTTCCAAAAAGATTTTCCAATGGAAAAATGTCTTTGCCATGCGCAGTTTAATCAGAATCAAAGCATTTCATCAAAACAATGGAAAAACTGTTTYTCATAGCATTTTCTAAAAGAAAAATACGCTGAAGTTAAATATATCTATATTTTTATAGCTAATATTTAATATTTCATTAAAACAAATTGTAATTGAATTGAAAAATTTTAACTCTTAAACTTCTTAATATTTTGTTTATTATAATTTTTCAGTTAGTGCAAACTTTGGTCTTGAAGGGTGTTTTAATGGTTCCAATTCAAAGCCTCTGGAAAGCCTCACACAAAAGGAAATTTTGGATTTTAGTTATATTCAGAAATTTCAATATTTTACTTCACACTCAGCCCCTGATGATTACTGGCTGTGTGATCACTACCAGTTGTTGTTCTGTTTCTAATTTGTTCACAGAAGCGTAACTGTTTTGCTCTTTTAGTACCACATTTACTGTAAAAGAAGCAGAGGGAGGCACCACTGAGGCTGTCTAACTCTTTGAGAGATTCCTGCTCACCTCAGGTAAAAATTTAAAATTCCTTCAGAGACTGTAACTGAATATCAAGAGCAAAGCAAACAATAGAAGAGTTACATGTGTTCAAAGTTATCCAGTATAAATCAGCAAAGCCAAAGCACAGGCAAATCACTCCAACACAAACTGAGTTTCCAGCTCAGAAATCTTCAGCTCAGTTTTCTCTCCAAGTTTAGCCGAGGCACAACACTCTAAGATATCCCAAGACCTCAATTTACAAAGATATCAAAACTCTTATCAGAAAGGAATGAAATGTCTCATTTGAATTAAATGTCTAATTTCAGGCTTCTGTACTAGACTTCCCCTGGAAGATTAGTCTGGACATGCCCATCGTAGCTCTGCTGCTCCTCTTAGCACAGGAGGCTCTACCAAAGCCTAGGGAAACAGCACGTGGGCAGGAATCAGGCACTCACCAAGCCACAAAGTATGGAGATGCAATTATCTTCATGGCTGCTTTTGTTCCCATTAAAATCCAAGGACAAACTCCCATTTTCTATAACACTGCAAAATCAGGCAACCAGGCTTTCCCACTTCCTTCAGCTTGGAAGCCTTTGTTACTGAGGTTTAAATGAACCATCAGCAGCCTGCTCTAATCAGGGTTTGTCAGGGGATTTGTCACTCTTTTCTTATTCCCTGCCCCCCACATAAAACAAAACCCTTAATATTTTATAACAGCAGAGCAATCACTTGTCCACTGTAGAACTATTAAATTTGCAATGATCTGAAGAAACACTGTAGAAAAAGCAATAAATGGGAATATTTTAATAGGGATCACAGTGAGCTCTATGGGATTTTATAAATGAAGGTGGTGAGTGATCAGTTTATGATTTAGCCTTAACCAGGCCCAAAGTTGTGGATAACACAACTCAAGCTCAGAACAGCCAGTGACAYGGACCCCCATGGGGTGGGCTCACCTCCTGGGACACTGTACCATGCACCACCATTGGTTGTTCCATCCACAAAGCTGCTGTCATCATCGTTTTTGCGACACGGTGGTCGGTTTGGATCGGACATGGCAGGGTTAAAAGAAGARTAACTGCGAGCCAGGCTTTGAAAAATAGCATCATCGGGGCAGGAGCTGTATTCATGAGCACTGCCTAGGGAAGAGAAAATTCCAGGAACAAGGATTATTAAAAGGGCAGTCATAGCAACTGGGCTCACAACTCAGATTACTAGCACTGCACAGCAGAACTGTGCCTGGAAATTCTATGTACACAGGTAAGTGTCCAATAGAATCACAAGTTAATAGAGCATTATCTTAATAACGTCAACAATTCCACATTACTTCATCAATTGTTGCCCCAYCATTGAAGTGGCTAATCACACCTAGTGTTAATATTCATGAAAATACTAATTTAGAAGTGCACCACAAAATCTAAGCTATTCTAGKCTTCAGATATTTTTAAGAAGAACATGCTGTACAAAAACATAGATGTCTCCCTGAAGAGTTTAACAGTCAGATATTAAAAGGACTTGCAATTAAACTGTGATAAAGTCAACTAAAAGAAGAGAATCACAAACAACATCAACATTTTGTGGAACTTCAGTCATGTGTTCATCCTGCAGTAGAAGAAAAAACAAATACTGCTGTATATTATATGATAACATCTCTGCCACAACGTGATCCTTTTTACAAGGGACCAATACTGAAAATAGCAGCAGCGATAGCTGTTTCTGTTAGCACGCTACTGCTTTCAGAAATTCATCTTTTACAGATGCAAGAAATCTTGTGCTAGGCACATCTTTCTCACTTTATTTAAAAGGGTAAAAACAGCCCCATCTAATTTAAGAGCCAAGTTGCCTTGATTAATATATCTGAGGGACTACAATTCCCTCAGGTATTACATCATTTTTGTCATGTAAATCTATTCTGAAACAAACCATCATTTTCAAAACTAGAAAATATGGTCATACAGTGACTAGCTTTAAACATGCGATTAATACAAAAAAGTAAGTCACTACAATGCAATGACTATAAATAAAATTTGTAACTTTTTTCTGCAATGTTTATATATTCTTGCAATGTTTTATGGTTTTGTTTGCAAGTATAAAGTGGATCTTTGCTAGCAGCGAAATAAGTATAGAATGAAGTTTCCATCTCCTACCCTTTCGTGTTAATATCTATTTACATACCACTCCGAGTCTCATCATAAGGATAATTTGCAACAAGGTCTCCTCCATGAAGGTTGGCAGAGAGCACAAAGGGAATATCCATAATCCAGTGAATGACACCTTTCGTTTCAGGAGCAAGCTGCAACAGAACAGCATTACCAGCAGTTACAAATTGATAATCCAAYGCAGAAACATCCAATTAAATATAGTGGGCTTAATTAATATCACATATACTGTGCAAGACAATTAAATTAACAGCAATTTTATTCTGGCTTCAGAGAAAATTAAATCAGTCTTTTACATTAGATATATAGTCATATAATGTGGATCGATGTAACTCCAAAACTGGTGTCACTTATCTCAGAATAAGACTACAAATAAAGCAATCTCAATCTTTTACTTCTTCCCATTATGGATAAAAAAGCCTACCAAATTTTAAACCAAGGAAAATAAAAGAAGTAAAAATAAATGTTGGTAGGGTACAATCTGTTCTCTGAATGGAAAGTAAAATTACTTTATTAATATTTTGAATYTGAAGACGGAATATGGCTATTAAGGCCACAGTCATATGGGGCTGCAGTCACAACACTCTATTTTCTTGAACTTCCTCTGGGGGTAAACACGAGAAGACAAAAATCCCTCCAGATAYACAGCTGCATATTGAAGGCTTAAACTTAACCAAAAATGTGTGTGTTCCATGTGAGAACAGCTATTTAGCCAGTAATATAATTAAGCACAATACACAAGTGAATTTCTGGCAATGGTAAAAATGCAGAATATTKCTAAAAATAGCCTAAAATCAAGTGAGGATGCTATGCAAAAAAAAAGTAAAATCCTTTGACTGAGGAATTGTCTAAGGATTAAATAAGATGGATCAAAAGGGCTTACTACAGCAATCCACTTTGAGAAGAATTCAAGAAGCATCAGATGCATACATTTAACAAAATAAACTAAATATTCAGAACAAGGTCAGTCATAAAGACCATACACACAGCTCTTAGAGGTGACTACGAGTTTGCTTATATAAAAGGCAAGAGATGGGCATGTAAGTGACCTAACATTCAGCCCCGACTTACCTTGGGATTCTGGTCCACGGCTTTTTTCATGTTCTTCAGAAGATGGTTGTTTGGGCCACCTTCTTTCTCATTAATGTAAACTATTCTGTCAAGATCTGGAAAATTTCTGTTTAGATCTATCCCTTGGGCATTGCTTCGACCAACAAACCAGTCTTTCAGTTCACCGGGCTAAATGAAGAAAGCGAACAGAAAGAGAAGGGAGGTGAATAGATTACAATATCACATTGTATATGGGCATGTTTCCTTCTCATGTGTTTGAGAATAAGAAGGGATCATGTGGGAGTAAAAGACTCCTGARGGACCAAGAGCTGAGTCAATCACACCTATTCCTTCCTAGAGCTCCGTGGGAAAAAAAAACAATCTCTACTTCACTGAGGGTCTTGCAGGAGAGGATTATTCTCAAAGGGCACACTTGGATTAAGGATGAGTAAAATTACCAGCAGTATCAGATTTTTCAGTGCCAGTGGTGTCTCCCCCAAGACTTGGCTTTTCCCCACTGCCTCATGTCCTGACTGCAAAGTACAGACCTCATTTTAGTGAGATTCAAAGCTGTAGATTTAACTGCCAGCCACAAGGACCATTTGCATTTGTTTCAAAGTTCCTCTAAATTACTTCAGGGTAAAGAAGGACTTTTTTCTTTACTTGAATCTTTCATTTTTATTGTGTCCATCAGCCTTGTTCACRAAATGGTAGCAATGAGAATTTTTGCAAAATTATTTCTTTAAACTGATTCTCTAAAATAAGTTTGGGATTTCATTAAGGAAATGCCTTCAGAATACATAGTTTTCCATAGGTTCTCTCTGTAAGCTTTCAGTACTCTTTAATGTAGGTTTAGTTTGGTTACTGGTTTTAATCTTGGGGTATATTGAATCCACTGTCCCACTGTGTGTGCAGGATCAAGATACTTCTGAATTAGAACAGCAGCACTAAAATCTTATTCAAATTTGTAAGGCATAAAAAAACAGCTATACATTGGCTAAGGAGCAAGAGCTTCAAATAATGTTATAGAAACTCTACAGAGAGAGATTTCCAAGTAGCAAAATGCTGCACTAATTTGATGACAGCTTCTGCTTCACTGCCACGAGAGGGAGATGTACGACCAGATATAAAGAGTTTCTGAAAGGCTTCATGAGAAGCTGATTTAACAAAGATCTTAATAAGGTTTGACTTATTTAATCATAAATAGTCACATGAGAACTTTCAACATTAAAAAGTAAATACACCTTGTAAGCAAGGAAATTCCTATTTTTGTTTATAACATAATACACACCAGAATCTTTATGACAGGATTACTATTTGATTTCCATTTGCTAATTATGCATTTATGCATTATATGTTTCTTGACTGAGTCATCACCCTAAAATGCATACTAAATTTTCTTGACTAATACCTTAATTAAAGTACCTCATGYATGAAATTTAGAATCAAAGTCTTTCATATTAAAAAGATGACTCACAAAGTTTGTTGTTTTGGGACCAAGCTCTGATGGAAGGAATAATTTTTTAAGTGCATTTGCAAGGGAATATCCYTAAAGAAAACAAACTTCCCTTTTCTTGCACTTTTGAAACCTCATGTATTACTAGAAGTTACTTGTTGAGGAAGCAGTTCAGTGAACTCAGATGAAAGAATATGCACAAAACATAAACATCATTATATTTTAAAATCACAAGAGAGAAAGCTACTTGTTGAAAAGTCAAGCATAAAGCCCTTCTTGTTAAACATCACAAGCCTACTATACTATTAGGAAATACTTTGGTTTTGCTGTCCCATTCAACAGTTGCCACCAGAGGGTTCGTGTATCTGTAAAACTCTTAGTCCAAGTGCCATTATGATATGGCAGACAGACACTGGTAACTATTCTTACAAACACAGCCTTACAAACCTGAGATGCTGCCTTCTCAAAGCCGTCTGGGTTCAAAGATGGCATGATATGGATACGTGTGCTATGGATCAAGTTGATAATAGTATCATTYCCTTTCTGGTACTCGTTACACAAGTACTGTGCCAGGAAGATGAGTAACTCCCTTCCAACAGCTTCATTCCCATGCATATTCCCAACATATTTAAATTCTGGCTCTCCTGCAAGAAAAAGGAAGAACAAGTCTTAGAATGACATATAAAAATCACCCACGGACAGGATCACACAGCACACCAGAGTTGTGGGTATGACTATTACTACAGCTGGGCGTGGTATTCCCAGGAAACTTCAGACTTTCTTCAGAAAAGCAGATTTAGGGCTTTTTCTAAACTCCGTTTTAACAAATGCTAATTAATATTCAGCTGTTTGCCAAAGGCAGAGTGAGAAGAACAGAGGACAATACAGGTGCCAAAAATAAATGCCAAGCACCRACATCAACATTACTACTGTTGAGGTCTAATGCAGTTGATGCATCAATACTATGAAAGTGTGTCATGATTAAGTAGTTTTAAAATATATAAACTGACACTAACAGAGCTTCTTATCTTTAATGTTGTCTCCAAGATTAGTTTAAGCTTACTGTATTACACATGCATTAAACTGCAATTCTTTCATGAAAGCATTGCCATTGGACAGATGTTGATCACAGTGATCTGAAAAATCTTACCCAGCAGCTGTTTTGCATATTCAGCTCAGACTTTATGAACCTAACGCATAAAATAATAATTTCCACTTAACATTCTAATAAACAGAATTAAATATATGCTTAAATATTTCATATATATATAATCTGTATTGAATGTTCATGTACACATTTAATGTAAATTTAATACATATTACATAATCATACAAGACTCATATTAACATATTTTCAATATATATTCTCTGTATAAAAAAGTCATCCAATATCCCCAACTGTTAAATAGCCTCAGCCTCATGACCATGGATGTTAAAATCACACAACGTATGTCTTGCGGAASAGGGAAGGATTTACCTTTTAAAATACAACATTCTTGGCCCTCATTCCAGAGAGGCTTTAGTGYACATGTAAATAACTGAATGAGATTAAGAGGGGTGTCCTGGAAGTAAAATGAGGAATATGCTGTTTTCTAGGCTGAAGCTCCTTTTCCYTTACACTTTGTCTTTTAAAATGCAGTTCTGTTGCAACTGCTGTAATCAAACATTCAGCTAATTGCAGGCTCTGTATAGTCCTCAATCACACTGTGTGATAGCCTTTAGCACTATTAGAGGGGCAAGCTGAAGCCAGGAGAAGTCTTACACAAACAAGACCTAAGTAATTGCTAATCAAGCATGCAGCCGTATCTACTTATGACCCTTCAGTCTATGCTTGTTAACCTTAATCCAGTGATAAGATGCRAGCAGACACAGTACTATTAATACCATGACTTCCTTTCCTTCCAGATCAGCTGGTTTTATAAATATGGGTTCAGCCCYGAAACATTTTGCTAGACAGGTTTATAAGTTTTCTAATTCAAGTAAAACAGTTTCATTTTATCTGACAGACACAGCACCGTCACTGTGACTAAACCCCTCCATTTCCTCTTTTGGCATTGAGATCCTATTTGCTGTTTCTTCCTATCTGCTAATACCAGGGAATGCAAGAGATTTAATCATCAGGAGTGATCAGACCACGCAATCAAGCTGATCCCATGAAAACAGATGGATACTATATAATGAAATGCACAGCACTGCACATCACATGCACTCAGAACACTCATCCACATGCAGACTGGSATGTTATTTATGGGGAAAAGGCTCCACAAACTAAGGGGCAAAATTGGTACTCCTGTAAATATGAACAGGGCTGCACTTGCACTTGTGCTTTTCCCYAGGACATACCTAAGGAAGCCTAAAGGAGAAACATTTTCTTCTGATTCCCAGACCCGTGCATTAATCCCCCACCCTTCTCACCCACTCGAATCTTACAGGTCTGGTTCAAATGAGTACAGAGAAACATGAGTTTCCCATAAGGTATTACTCGGCCTTCCCCCCAAAGAATTGTTAACAGTGTTTAAAAGCTTCATGCAAACAGTCACACAGGGTCCACAGCGAGCCAAGAGTACAGCCTTGTATCTTCAGTGGTAATGCCCCATCCCAAACGAGCCAGGAAGAGGTAATGAGTCACTGGAAATACAGAAAGTGTTTCCTATGAGAAGTGATTGATAAGGTCAGCCCCATTTTCCTTAGGAAGACTAATAAGTGACAGTCAAATACACCAATCATCGTGTCACAGGGACTTGGTCAGGAGGAACAGCACCTCCCAACATCACAAAAAAGGGAGTGATTTTCAGTGAAAGGGAACAATGACAGTTTCTGGAGCAATAAAGAAAAATTATGTAACTCATAACACAAAGAGTGAAACCAGTATTCAGACAATCCTCTTAGCACTGAGGTGTCAGTACAACTCCCAAGTTTTGCTAGCAAACCAAGAGTTAAAGAAACTAAGAGCAAATGCAGAAAGAATGGAAAGGGACAGATAACAGGGAGCTCAATAAAAGCCCTGCTTCAGAATGTAAATTGTGTTTATATTTTAGCTCCCTTGGACATTCTCTTAACCCTGTCTCTGAAGCAAAGAAATCCATTTCCTATCAGTCCTCTGGCTGCAGAGAACATGACAGCATGGTCCACACCTGCCCACACATCTGTCAGCTCCCAGCCCTACCGATTTCCTTAATTATAGGCACAACAGCCAATGAAATACTGGTTTTCCACTCAGTATGAGTAAGTATTGAATTTCATACTGATTACATCCAAAAATCTTAGAAAAACCCATTCATTTCATCAGCACAATGCAGCCAGCACTCCATACCCACTACTGTACCAGAAAGAACCTGCTCCTGTTCCACTGCATGGGCTGCCACAGACACCTCAAAAGCCAAAGTTTGCCTTGGCCATCAGATCATTCATTCTTAGTGCTTCATGGGTTCCCTGGTCTATTCATAGAATATATGCTGCCACATAATTTCTACAAGTTTCTGCCCAGCCCATGGAGGAAACAGCCTCTGTCTGGGTCACCTGCTGCTGGCACACTACTTAGCCAGAGGAAGAGCTGCTCTTYCCATTAATCCTTCATGAGCCATTTAATGCAGACCTTAATCACCCTTCACAAGGTTCTGTAACTGCAATTGCCTCACAGAAATGTAAATTATTTTTTTATTAAAAGACTCTGTAAATGTCAATTTGATGAAGAATTACTAAAGTGTCTTCAAACAAGTAGAAAAACTCGCTTCACTGCAGAACTGGAAGTGGCTTTAGAGAAGAAGCTTGAAGAAATATAACTGACTTTTCTCATTTATTTGACCCTCCCCACAGAAAAATAAGTAACATTGTTTGCTTGGATTGATTGGGGTGTAAGCTAAAATAAACACAAAGGAACATTTCCATTGGATGARTATTTAAAATTCTCCTTTAATGAATTTTATTAATCTTCTGATGATATATCTTGACAAATGATAGTCTCTCATTCACAATAGCTAAAGTACGTCTTGCAAACAACATATGACTTTTATAAATGCTTACACCTATTTCAGCTCAGGTACAGAGGTCTGTGATRAGGAATAAATGAGTGGATTCTAACATAAGAAATGAAATGCAGCAATCAAGTTTATAAGTATCTTAGTATCTCTGGTAAAATCTAAGCCATCACATCATTATGGCTTTTAGAAGGCTTTTACATCCCTCCTAGACAGACTATGTGTGGTACATTACAACCTGATAAACGATTGAGGAAAAGAGGCATTTTAAAATGTCATGCTTTTCTGGTGCCTGGCAAACATTGTGAATGTCACCAYTCCCTTCTGCAGTTACTGTCAGCAAAGGTCTTCCCCGGTTTCCTAGGAACAGCTTGTACATCATTAATGCTAGACAGGTCATCCAATTAACAGTGACTAACCACTGCCATTTTCAGGTCAGCCTGTATTTGCACAGCAAAGACAGTCATTTTCTAAAACATAGGGACAAAAAGTTTAGCCCTACTAATTAATTATCTATCCTACGATTCAAGGCAACGCCATGCCACTAGCCACGGTCTAATGCCAAGCTGTTAGCTTTAAAATGTACGGTATTTCGCTCATGGAACTACAAGCCATATGGGAGAAAAACAATGAAGTCCTGGGAAGTTTAAGTGCTTAAGGAACTCTTTTGCAAATCAGCCTCAAATATCCTTCAAAACTGAGTCTTTCTGCTTTCCTGTATTTCTTATGGAAAACCCAACATTCCTGAAATAACAGATTTAGTGTTTCTGATTACTTACAGTTGCTTGTCATTTTTAATATGGCAACCCACAAACTTATCTTGTAGATAAATGGCAGGAAAAAAATCTCTAAACCCTCACTGGCAAGAAATTTATTCCCTAATGTTATTGAAGACTTTCTTCTGCTCCAATTTTTACTAGTCTTTCAACGAGAAATTCTCTGGARATCAACTACATGGAAAATCAAAGATTATAAAATGGGTTTCTCCTCTGAATATGAAAAAAAATGGAAAAAAAGGAAGAAAGTAAATGAGGATGCAAGATAGAAAAGTGAACAAATTAGAAAATTCAGATTTTCAGTAAATATAAACTGAATGTGTTGAACCTGCCTTAAAACAGCATTTCAATGCAAATATCCACAATTTGTGCAAAGAKGGCCTAGAAAGATAGAGCCATAATGCAGTATTAGTTTAGAAATCATTAGATAGGCCTTATGTAATTTTAGGACAACTAAATTACTAAGAAGGTAGCATTGGTCTAAGCTTGCTGAAAGAGAAACAACTGGAAGTTTCTCAGGTGGCTGACATGAAAGCAGAAACAGGTCAACAGTCAACACCAAAGATTTTTCAAAAAAACTAGTATTTCCCTTTCTTGCCATCAACTTCTAGAAAAAACATTGGAAGAAAACGAAAAAATGCACTGGAAGAAAATCAGCGATCTTTTGGCAACCTCTTCCTTTAAAAAAAGAAACATACACTTTTAACAGCTATGATTTAAAATCAGTTTCAAGCCCGTTGTGGAAATTAATTACTTGAACACCACTGCTTAAAAATCAGAGTTAACAATAAATTCTGTACAACACATTAAACTTGCAGTGAAAGCTCACAAGCAGCAGCTGTTTCTGCCGGCCTCGACATGTCCAAGATAAGATGTGATCTCCATTCTACT